GCATGATTAACAGTCTGACCTGGTGGAACAAGCTCCCAAGGCACTACAAGTCAACATTTTTGTCTGTCTGGGAAATTGACGCACATCCAGAATGAGGTTTGTCATCAATCGACAGTCCACCTTTTTTGAAATGAGAACACCACTCATACTTTTGAGTTTTTCCCACAGCGCTCCCCTTGTAAGCTGTGTTCCACATCACAACAGTTTCTGCTGCACTTTTCCTGAGCAGGAAACAAAATTTCACAGCTGCAGGCTGTTCCCTTAAATCGGCTATCTCAAAAAAATGAGGTTCAAGCAAAACTGCTTTTAAGAAAAAGTTCATAGTGACCAGAGGGAATCTTCTCCAGTGACACCACTGGGTGCACTAACTCAGAGCGAGTTGCCTGATGCTCCCTTAGCTGGGGGGGCGAAAGGCGAGGGGAGTGCATATTCTGAAAGCTCCACCCAGTGGAGTTTTTTCCGTTGGTTTTATTTGGGGCGAAGGTACCCAGGTATATCATTTCCTAGTTCAATCACGTCAATCAGTATTTTACAATTGCTATCACAATCGATTTCCAAACATTCTTTTCCGTGTGTGTGTGTGTCCATGTGGAGGGGTGACTAGAAACACATCTATTGAAAACAGGCTACCTAGAAAATCTCATTGGGTTATCCTGAGAGTGGTGCAGATCGAATTGTTCGGATAATCAGATATGAAACCCCTTTGCAAGTAAGCAGATCTGGCCCGTGAAAGCAATAAGCACAAACAGAGCCAAGATGAGTCACTGAGCTGGGTGACCCTGCAAGGAGGGCAGAAAACTTTTGTGAAGAAAGATGACATTTATAATTCTGAGAACAAAGAGCCTAGATGATCCTAACTGCAGGGATGGCATTTCTTTGCAAGGTCACGATATTTGTTTAAAGTCCTCTTAAATCGTTTGACCTTAAATGTATTTTGCTTTCTTGTTCTCTCAGGGGGTGTGAACCACTGTGGCCTTTGCAATCCAAAAGCAGGCTGTCTAGAAACTTTTCGAGCTCAGCACAGTGTGTGACTACCTGTTCGCATGGCAGTCTCTCCTCGGTGACCGGGAGCAGTTTGAGGCAGGGACTTGTCTGTGCGCCCCGAGCCTGACATTCTGGTTCATCATAGTGTGTCATCAACTTGGAATGAATGCTCCCAGGAAGACTGCACGGAGGCGATCACTTAAGCCATAGAGTCATATTACAGTGATTTGTATGTCTGTTATTTTTATGTATTCATCCAGACCTGTACGATATGTCTGATACTTAAAATGATTTCATGCAGGAGGAACTCAGAAAATACAAGTGACAGCGTATTTTAAAGTCAGATCCTGCTGTAACATAATCCTAAAGGATAAAACCGTGAAAGTATGCACTGGAAGTCTAATTGTCCTATCCATTTGGTTTGCTTCTTCTGTATCGGGTTTATTTATATATGGGAGTCCGTGGCTATGGCAGGAGCCCTTTCTCTGTCGTCCCGAGAGAAGACAGTGTTGAAGCAAGCAAGGACTGACCCCAACTGACCCTGCTTTTCGGTTGCTCTTGCTTGCAAGGGCTCATGCTACTGTTTGATTGTAATATGGCAAATTGATGCACTAGTTACGGTGTCCTGCCCTATCTGTGTGACAGCTCCTTGCACTGACCTGCTGAGTGTGCTGGTACCAGCGGCTGTTTTTTAGGGGAGGGAAAGACAATGCTTTTAACCGAACCACTCACCTCAGGGCTGACTTCCAGCTACTCACAAAAAGATGGCTGCCCAAGCCAGCAGTCCTTAAAGGCCAAGTGTTTCCTTCACACCCCGTGGATCATTGAGGCACAAGAAGATGGTATTAGCCCTGCTGTGATTATTTATTTTAGCTCATACAGTTTATGTATACTTTATAGTGTAATACTATTTTTATACAGTAATAGAGCGATCATTTTCAAAGAAAAGAAAAATTAATGTCAGAAAAGCTTGCTCAATGTAGAAATGTGTACACAACCACAACCTAGATGCCATCAAGGCAACTCCACTCACAGCTACCCAGCGCGCGTCAAGAGTAGACTTGTGCTCCGTCCGGCTATTGAATGTCTGCTTTGTGGGGGCAGTCGGTCACCAACCCTTATTCCCATGTCTCTGAGTGAGCTCAAACTTCCCGCCTTTGATGAGCAACTAATGACCCCACCCAAGGGCCTCAACATTTTGTTGTTTTCTCACACACTCCAGACCGCTGCTCTCAGAAAGCATGCATCCTGTTGGGCATTCTGTCTTTCACCAGGGCTCATGTTTCAATAGGAAAGGAAAGAAAGGTCAAGTCTGTCCCAGCATGGGGAGATGCTCTGTGTTGTATCTGGTGGATGGAGAGAGAGAGTAGAAAATATGGAAAGAGTGTGTGTTCTCTGACTCTGTTCCGCGCCCCTAAGCCAGCCATCATTGTCCCTAAAATGGCAGTGGACTTGGTACATCAACACCTCTCCCCTCCCCCACCCCACTAAAGAAACACCTGTTCAGTGGCCCAGTTTCTTTCCTCGCTGAAGACATTGCTGAAGAAACTAAGCACTGACTCCAACCCAGACACTGCCGTTGAAATATAGTATTAGATTTCTGGACTTCAAGGTCATAGCCAATAGGCAGTTTAGCTGCCTCCCCACGCCCCTCCCTGCCAAGGAACCAGATCATGCTCCGCACCTCCTCCAGCAGCCTATGCTGATTGTAGGAATGGGGTGTGGAGTATTCATTGTTGGGTACAATTACCTCCCAGAATACAATGAATCTTCTTTTAGACATCCCAGGGAGATAATTTGGACATAATGAAGATCTATAGTAATCAGATAATTACTATCGATTGCTCTTTAGACGTCTTGATGAGGTAATTAGGGCGTACTGGAAAGAAGCTAGAACTGATTGATTGGCATGACTGTAATCTCGAAGATTTCTAATTATGTTTCTTTTCTTCTAATGGCTTATAAACAAACATCATTTTAGCTCTAGAATTTGTCAGGTGCCAGGTTCACTGGGAACATCAGCTTTCTCTATTATGCTAACTAGATGCCGAACATGATCCACATAAGCTTATTATGCCTTCCTGCTGCAGCAGAAGAAACGGCAATTAACCCTCGCTTTTCTTTTTCTTCTTCCTTTCCACATGGCTGGTCGCTGGTTGGGGAATGGGAGGTGCCCTCTTGTGGGCGGTAATGCCATGACGCGCATGCGCGACTCTCGGGCTGAGTGGGGCGGGGAACCTGGATCTCTTTGGCCTACTGGGATCCCTCAGAGTCGGCTGAGCTGCAGGCAGCAAGGAGCAAGGGCGCGATGACACCACCATGCATGTGTCCCGTTGATCGGCTGTGGCTGGTGACCGGGTGGTTGCTGGGGTTGCAGTCAGAAGCCCTAGTAACCTTGTCAGCAAGCCACGTGGAATAGCCGCTCAGTACTGTCAGGCAGATGGGCCTGCCCATCTCCACGTACGGGGTGTTGTCTCATCTCTCTCATTAGGTACTAATTAAGGGGAGTCCCATCCAAGACCACATTCTACGTTATTCTAATGCTTCCTACAGCTCTAGTAGGATGCTAAGAACCATTTATAGAAGTGACTTGAAATGAGCCATTGGCCTCTAATCTGAGCTGTTGGTAAATTTCATACCTGCTCGGTGACATGTGCATCCGTTCATTAGTATTCATTCAGCAAACACAAGGTGGATGCAATCCTCGGTATAAGGCCACCTAGTCCCCAAACTAGCATGGTGATCCAGCTGTGCTTGGTTACACCGTGGTGCTCATTGCCACTGTGTCGATGCCAACTCATAATTACCCTGTAGGACTGGATACAATTGCCCCTGTCAATTTCCAAGGCTGTAACTCTTAAGGGGATTAGTTAGAAAGCCCCATTTGTCTCTTGAGGAGAGGCAGATGGTTTCAAACTACTGACCTTGCAGTCAACAGCACAATGCACAACCACTATGCCACCAGGAGTGCTCTGTCTCTGTCATTCATTCATATATGTATGGAATGACCTTAATATACCCCTGTTTTATTGAAGTTCAAGTATTCCATTAAAATCTCACTAGAGAATTAAACTATTTTGTTTTTATATTTTTATAATAGCCTTTATTTTCATGAGCCCTTGTAATAAAAAGAAAGGTCATAATTTAGCCACCTATGTGGATCACTAGCATTTTTAAAGTGTAGGCGTGAACTCCTGGGAAGGGCTCAGACAGCAAAGGAGACCCGGGATATTTTGTTCATTGGTAACTTATGGGTTTGCTGCTATTTGGGTAATTGCAGCTGTCTTTGGAAATGCTTCCTTAACTCCCATTAACTGGTTTGAGGAATGGAAGTATGCATAGAACTTGTCTTTATGCTACATCTTTATAGTGAAAAGCTATATAGCAAAAATTTTGATTAACCGGCATTCTGGAGAAATGAGGTCCATTTTTTTACCTTTAATCCTAATAACTAGTTAGTTCAATGTTTGATGCATTTAAAATGTTACATTAGAATAGTTTTCACTAATAAGAAAAATAATGCAACACTTTATTTGTTACAGAAGCAACAAGATATTGCATTAAATGTCTATTTTAGAATGTATTTTTTCATTGAATTAACCAAGTTCAAGCTGTAGGTTGTTTGTTCCTTTTCACAAAAGTAATTTATTTACTTTTGTTGAATTTTTACTTTAATTGGAATTCTTCCAAGATGGAACTCTGATTAGTTCCCCTTATTCAATGAAATATTTCACTTCTCCACCAGGCAGTGCAGACTGTACTGATTTTGCTCCACCACAGTGTGACAGAAATTGTTAAATCAGAGTCCATTGTCAATAGACCCCAGACAGATCTTAGAAATGACCGGGGCCTCAGTTGCAGGGATGGGAGGCTAACAGAGTAGAGTTCATGTTGTGGCACATTTGACAAGTGGTGTTCAGAAGACAAAGAGAAGAAGTGTACTTGTTCGATGCTTGCACTTGATGGAAAGTGATGCCATTCAATAATTTGCTTTTCGTTTGTGCATGTCATTCTAGGAAGTTTTACAGCTCGAGAGACAGATGGGAGGACAGCTTCTAGAAGAACCAAAGGCTCTTCATTTTAAAGGCAGCACCCACAACTTGCGCCTGTCAATTCATGACATTGCCCATTCTCTTTGGAAGAGCAAATTGCTGGCTAAATACCAGGTAATACTTCCACAGGGAACTAAAGACGTAGAGACGGCTCCCAGAAAAAGGAGCAAAATTATATAAACCTTAGAAATCTCTTTGCTGGGAATGAGTTCTAAATCAATTCATTTTTCTCAAAATCTCAACCAAAAACATGACAACTCTGTACAGTTTGTAGAGCCAACAGCCTCCCCTTTCTTCCATGGAGCAGCTAGGAGGGTCTGAAATGGTGACTTTGTGGTCAGCAGTCTAGCTGACCTAGCTCACACCTCTAACCCCAGAGCTCTCTTCTCTAAAATTGCTTGGAATTTAGGATTTTTGAAAAATAAATGCTTTTCTTAAAATTCTTCTCAAATAATTGTACTATCCTTGCTTCATTTTTATTAAATAAGACTTCCAATCCCATCAGCTCTGTAAATTTTCAGAATAAATTGTTACATTGAATCGCTAAAAACGGGCCTAAATGCAACAGCCATCTAGCTGAGAGGAAGAAAGGTGAGCATGATGGTGGGAAAGGAGGAAGGTAAAAGTAAACAGAGGAAAGATCTAGGAAGCAAAGCTATGGCTAGAGGTATAAACATAGGTGTGCACTTATGTAAATATATCAATTCATCAAAAATAGAGGTATTGGCCTAGGTACATATATTTATATGGCAATACATTGAGGAAGTGGACGGACTTTAGGCCTCTGCTCAAGCCCTCCCCCTCAATGCAGGAACAGTTTGTTCTAATAACCTGGCATTCTGTGATGGTCACCCTTCTGGCATGAGGGACAAAATGGGTGCACAGCAAATGTGGCGAAGAAAGCTGATGGTGTCTGGGGTCTTACAAGCTTGAAGTTAAACAAGCTAGCAGAGAAGCAACAAGCCCAAATGGAAAAAACACACCAGTCTGTGTGATCATGAGGTGTTGACAGAATCAGTTAATAGGCATCATAAAACTCAAACAAAAAAACATACTGTTGAGAATGTGGGGGTTTGGAGCAGAGACCCCAAACCCATCTGTAGACAGTGGGACATCCCCTCACAGGAGGGTCACAAGGAAGGGATGAGTCAACCGGGATGCAGTAAAGCACCCATGAAACACACAGTATTCCTCTGGTTCCTTGAGGCTTCCTCACCCCCACTATCATGACCAAAACCCTGCCTTTCACTTCAGACTAGGTGGGAGCATGTACACAGGTAGAGATAAGATTCACAACACAGGGAATGCAGGTCAGATAAACCCCTCAGGAACAGAACTGCATAGGAAAGGAGACATACAGTGGTCGGTGTAAGATATGACAGCGGTCACGAGGGCAGGAGGTGGGGGGAGGGAGGGAAAAATGAGCTGATACCAAGAGCTCAAATAGAAAGTAAATGTTTAGAAACTACTGATAGCAACATATTTACAAATATGCTTGATACAATTGATGTATGGATTGTTATAAGAGCTGTAAGAGCCCCCCAATAAAATTATCTTTAAAAAAAGCTCAAATATATTCATAGGAAAACCAGAACATTGCTACCAAAAATAAAACAAATTTGGTTTTAACATTATTAGGAGTAGCTTTATATTAGAAACGTAAAGGAAACGGAAATATATAATAAATATTGTCAAAATTGTATTAAATAACAGCATAAAATACTGGTCCCAAGCCTCATGCTGAGTACCTGTGGGAAAATTCTAAAGCTCTCTCGGGGTTTTCACCTCCTCTCTACCACACAGCCTGAGCTCTCAGGAGACGGACGGTTTTGATGCCATTTCTAGCCTCATACCCAGTCCCGGGAGCCAAGCACATTCCCCAAAGCTTCGAATCCATGTCCACACATGTGCAAATCCAATCCCAACCCCTGCCATCGCAGCTGAACCAATTGTGACTCTGCCAGAAGGCGTTAAAAGAAGCCTTTTCGGCTATGTTTATACAGTCATATGCGAAAGACTTCTCATAAATCCTGAGTGGTCACCACTTGTGAATCTGAATGGGGTTGTCTGCCCGCTCTCTTCTCCTAACTTAGCACTTGAGCTAAGAGCAGCAAGCAGGCTTTGACTCGCAGTTTAGATCTCTTCCTTTGCTTTCTTCTATTTTACAAACTGCCATAACATTTCATAAAGCTACTTTTAGAAACAATATCCTGCATACAATGATCATGGAAAGCATTATTAACAGTATTGATATGAGACATGATATTCGTTACAACTGAAGCTTGGTGGTTTGAGCCTGCACAGCAAGGCTGTGGGAAGAAAAGGCTGGGCGAGTGGTTTCCAGGACGACGACAGCCCAGCAAGCCCCATGCAGTCCTCCCACTCAGTAACAGACTTGTCAGAAGCTGGAATCAACTAGACTGCAGCTGATAATGATTTTGGTGAATGCTCAGGGTCTCTCTACTCTCATAAGCACTTGGTTTGATCTCCTTTAAGCCCAGGGGGTATGAGTTAGTCTGTTGGGTATTCTTTTGCAGATGAGAAAATGGGGGACAACTCAAGGTTAAGCAACTTTCTCTAAATCCTCACCCAAGTGCTGGAAGACTGTACTCCTTTCTAAACCCTTAACATGTAACTGCCCTGCTCTCCTGTGTTTCAGGAACCATTTTTTCTTTGCTTTGTTGCAGACAAGGGTCTAGAATGGGCTCTGATGGAGATAGTTTAAAGCTAAAGCCAAACCCAACCTGGTGTTACGTTGATTGTGCTGCCCCTCCTTCCCCTGGCCCCCATGCACTAGGGAGGAACTCTTCCATATGGTTTTCCTGACCGTACTCTTTATGGAAGCAGAACACTGTGCGCATGAGGAGCTTTGAACCGCCAACCTTTAGATAGGTTTGTAGCCAAGCACAAATCATTCTGTTCTCCAGGGACCTAGAGGAAATCAAGATTTTTTTTTTTTTAATTAATGGTCAAGACTTTTCTGGGGCAGACAGTCTAGTCTACAGTTTTCCCTCTCTCCTACAGCGGGCAGAGGGAGGAGGGAGCTATCTCAGTGAATGTTCCCTTAGGGTTCCTGAGCTTTTCCATCTAGACTCACAGCAGGGATGCCTTTTCAAGAACAATCACTGGCTCCTGTAGGTTCTATTGTGTGGATTTTCTTAATTCATTTTTCAATCGTTTTCTTGGCATATAGTTCACATTATCATAGTTCATTGCTTGTTACGTTTCTACAACAAATTGTTGGGAGAGAGACCCATTCTAGATCGGCAAATGTTTGGACTCACAAAGCCAACTCCCTGCGTTCAAATCTTAAGCCTGCTATGCACTCCCTGTAACTTTGACTGAGCTATTTGGCCTGGCTGAGCCTCAGTCTTGTTTTGCTTTCATATTTTAATTTGGGAAAGGAAGCAGGATGTCCTTTAGAATGGGATGGTGCTGAAGGTTAAACAGATGAATATGTGCAGTGGGAGGAGGATCTAGCAACAGACTAATTTTCCTGTTCGCCCCGGACTTTTCTGCCCCTCAGGAAATCCCTTTTTATCACATCTGGAGTGGTTCTCAAAGAAACCTGCACTGCACCTTTACGCTGGAAAGATTTAGCGTGGACACGGTGGAGCTGGTCTGCAAGCTATGCGTGCGGCAGGTGGAAGGTGAAGGACAGATCTTCCAGCTCCATTGCACTGTGTCGGAGGTAAGAAACGCCTGTTTGTCTTGGAAACCATGGTAGCCAGAACCCTCCCGAGGAAGCACCGTGTGGGAAAGGAGGCATCCCAATGTAGGCCATGTGGGAAACCCTGGGGAGACTCCTCTTCTGTTCCATTGGTGAACAGGACAGAGTCCTTTTCCCCAGTGTTGCACGGGGCTCCTTTGTTTGGTGAAAGTCGAAGAAGGCTAACAACAGCACTCGGCACCCCCCCCCCCCCCCCCCCCCCCCCCCATGGCTGAGGTGGTCAGTGTACCTCAAAGCAGCACGGGGAGCTGGAAGTAGAAAGGAACCTAATGGGGAATCTGTGGTGGAAAAAACAGGTTGGATCTTCTTATGACATGACTCCAAGGACCACGTTCTAACTTTCTGAAGCAGATCCAAATTTCAAGTAGAAGGTTTAATGTAAGGAGCATCCACACGGACTACCTTTTCTCGCAGCCTCCCTTGATGTGCCCGCAGACCCTGCTTCCTCCACCGGCTCCCTTTGCCCCAGTCATGCGCTGCTGAGTGGAATGAAGGGGGAGAGAGGGGACCCAGCTCCTCTGAGACGCTCTTCTTAGCTCCTTTTTCAATCCAGGTTGAAAGAAAAGGAAAAAAAGTCTACATCTTTTTTTCTCGCAAGTCATTCTCTGTTAAAAAAAAAGTATGCCCTTTCTCCAGGACAGAGAGAATGTTCTAGAATGATAAGGGGACTTATCATGGGTGGAAAACATTCCATTATCTTCCCCTTCCAGTTGTCAGCCAACTTTCTGCAGCTCTATTGTAGAAGGACACTCGTGCGTGTTGCCCCTTTGAGGCTCTCCCATGGAGATTCCTGTCCCTGAAGGGCAGGTAGATTCTGCAGACCCTGTAGCTGGGCTTGTTCCCAGATCTGTACTATCTGTACTGACCCCCGCAGCCAGTCAGAAGGTCTCTGGGAGGAAGTGGAAGGCACCATGGCCTTGTCTGCTCTCTGAGGCGAAGGCTGCAGTCTGCGAAGTGGGCTCTTTCCCGCTTAGAGGGACAAATGGCCAAGAATATGCTGGACAGTCACAAAGCCGAATCTTCATGGCCCTTCTGAACCACAAAGCACAGACTTGTCGTATTTTAAAGCTACAGCGGGACAGGCGATGATTTAAAGCCCTGCTTCTCCCGCGCTGCCTCGTGCGTGGTGACATCGAATGAAAGGTCTGTGGGTTCGTCCAGCGCGTCCTCGATGGAGACGACCTTCCTAAGCCAACGGGGGCAGAGCACGTCTGCCCGGACGACACCCATCCCTCCTTCCCACAGCCGGCCGCGGTGCGGTCATCATTTCCTCCTGTAGTTCATGAGACTTCTGGCTCATAAACAACTTTAGTCACAGACCCCGGTGGCATTCATAAGGCATGATCTCGGTGTCAGGGTGTCATGGCAACCACCGGGCCTCCCGAAGCTGCAGCCCTATCTCCAGCACACAGCACCCCCCCTGCTGGCTCGGGAGGGTGTTTTCACTCGCCAGGCCCAGCAGGTCTGCAAAGTTCAATAACCACCCAGCTCCAAGGACTACAAAGGCTGGGGAATTTTGGAGGGGGACGAGGGGTCTGGCCCTTTGATGCTTGCTTTCTGTCCAGCACGA